TTCATTGCGATTTTCGTTGAGGTCAATGATGGAGTTTTGAGATCCTGAGCGGCTGCAAAACTTGGAGACGATGGTGTAGTAAGTGACCAAAATGAAAGCACTAGCCAATATACCAATAACTGCTATAATGAGAGGAGAGAAATCAGTAGTGGAATCATCTCCAAGAGTGAGAGGAGGTGGAGGAGGGAAAATTATATAGCACCATTGAGGACAATAGATACTGCAAATTCCTTGTGAACAATCTCTGTAGTTATCATATGGTGCCCATTGAGTTGGATTACCAACAGAACCCATCTGAAATCTGATCTGAAAAACTGAAAATTTGTGTTGGGTGTTTCTTGTTTTTTGGCCCAAAAGAAGAGAAACAGAGAGATGGGTTAAAGAAAAAGAAAGGAGCTTTGATGGAAAGAAAAGCAAAGTAATGGAGATAGAGAGTTGAAGTGTCTCTCTCACTCTTCCTTATCTCTTGCTAGATTACTTTATTCCTTTTGGCTCTTTGTTTGTTCACTGCAGATTGTTGACTAATTTCTTTTTAAGACCTCCAGTACTTATTAAACAGTCTTCTTTTTTTTTTTTTTTTTAAGTACCGTCTAAGCTTTTAATTGTTTGGTGAGATGTAGGTAAATTACTCCTCCTCTGTTCTCCTACGTGAAAAACTACCTTATCACCAACCCGCTCTACCAATCCCCTCCCGCCATCTTACGTTAGCGAAAGAGAAAATAAAAACTATTACATAATCACAGGACCGCATATAATTTACAACATTTTCGTTTCAACTTTTGTGTTAAATATATATATATATATATATATATATATATATATACATACATACATGACCCGATAGAAAAATTTAAACGCTATTGTACTCGGAACGCGAAGAAATTTCGTTAGTATTCACAAGTGTAAGTATTTTAGATGTGGGATGTGGCGGAATCCTATTGGGTAGCCAGTAAATTGGTTGATAGGAAGATTGATATTTTGCACATGATGGATCCAAGATTTCCAAACAAATGATTTCACCCACACGTACAAAAAGACAAAAAAAGAAAAGGGTTGTTCTTGTAACGTACGCAAATGAATTGAAAGGTTTCCGCTTTATTTCAACACATGAAATGATGAGTATGCCATCTAGATATGAACAAGTTAAGTTTTATGGCTATTAAAGAAATAATATCTATATTCTTAATATAATATATGTACTACATTAGAGACGTATAATATATATTCTGCAGCCTATACCATCGTAGAGATTAATAAAAATACTCACCAACCGAATAAAAAATGATTGGAGTTGTGAAATAGAGTTGGGACGGTTGACCTTCGTTAATTAATCACAAATAAGAAATTCTTAATCCAATAATTGAGACTATTGGATTATATTTAATTTTAATTAGAACGATTACAATATTACAAAACAAATTAGAGTAATTAGTAATAGATAAAATAATAGTAATAATTAAATATAATTAGTTTATTTTAAATATTTATCATAAATTATAAAAACAAAATTAATTTTAATTCAGAAGTTCTTCTAGAACGCTTAATAATTTTTTAATAAATGAATGCTTCTATAATATATATATGGAAAATAAACACTGTTTTAAGAGTTCGTCATCAATTTGTGGCTCATATTAACAGCTTAAGAAAGACAGTTATCGCCATTTTTTTTGTTGGGAATTTTATGAGAATAAAATATTAAAAATAATTTAATTATTATTAAATATTTTTTTATCTGAATATATCATAATTTATTAAAATTAAATTAAATTTAATCATCAGTATATTAATAAATTAAAAATTATAGATCAGACAAAATTAATCTATAACACGTTAATAGCATAAAAAAATTTATATTTTCAATAAAATATAAATTTATGACCTTTAGATAAATTACAAATATCTTAAAAATTAAACCACTATGTTGTTAGTGGTATGAATATCCTTCAATTGTAATTTATTCAAGGATGCTTGTAAATTATATTAACAAAGAAACAGAAAAATATTATTAAGATGCAAGTGATTAACAGTGGAATAGAATCCTGGAAATATTGATTGAAGAGATTATAATGAAAAATATATATATATATATATATATTTCAAAGTACTTCCAATAAGCAGCCGATAACTGGCTTTTATTTACTTTAAATAATAAATCATTAGGATCTTATATATATATATATATATATATCTATATGTATATATAATATTTATATGTATGAAATATCAAATAGTTAAAGTTAATAAGAATGATCCCATGTACAAATAAATTTAGTGAGCAAAAAGAATAAACAAACATACAATAAGAAATAAGGTAGCCAAGACCTCCAACTCATCCAATCATTTTTACACTAGTAAAAGTAAATATTTTATACTCTGCAAAGTAAACTGAAGCTTTAAAAAGTATTTCCAGCCTTTATTTAGCATTATAGAATATGCTTTCATAGATTTCCATCATCAGAAATTCACAGTAAACTCTCAATAAATTGGATACCACAACATAGTGAAGGCAAACGAGAAGTAACCATTTTTGTCTTTAAATGAAGATTATTAAGCAGTTCTTGAAAAATGACAACTGACATGGCGCAGTTTATTTCCTTATTACCTGCCAGTTAACAATGGTGATGCATGCCTAGCAAATAGCACTGAGATGCTAATTCATAGTTCCCACAACAGATGCAACAATTCCAAGAATGGTTTTCTTTCAGTAAATTAAAACCTATTAACTATAATGCATTTCTTTTAGGTCCCATTCTAGCACAGATCAATATTTGACTATAAACTGTACTGTACTGTACCGTACCACACTGGCTTGAAAAAAGTGGGGGGTTTATTCTTTATGCTCTTCCTTTTCTCTTGTCATCCAATGCCTGCTCCAATATATCAGATTCCAGAAGTATGGTCAGAATATAATCCAATATACTATATTGGGAAAAAAAATGCATTCCACTCAAAAGTGTGTGTTTTTTTTTAATGGAAAACACAAGTTTTTCTTTTCCTGGTGTAAGAGTGCCCCGCATGAATATTTCTACGGAGAGGTCACTACTGCTTTGATTTATAAATATATAATTCTATACGCGAGTAGGAAATACTAAACAGACATCTTTCGACCAGTAATGCCCAAAATGAAAATTTGAGTTACAAGAAAAAACTTTCATGCGCACATGGCATATATTGAACTTGGAAAAATATATCTAGAAATCACCTTTCAAACCCTAAATAGGTAATTGAAATCACTAAAAGCAAGCATACAAATTTTTTAAGGTATGCAATGACTATTTGCAAGTACGAGGCTCCTAAACAATGAAAACACCAGATATATTCATGTGCAGAGAAGAAGAGGATACCTTGCTTTGGAACATTCTCATTGTCAACACAAGGGTATCCCGCATTCTAGAAAAATCAATACCATCATATATTAGAAAGCATCTAACAAATAAATACTCAGAAAAGCAAACATCTGATGAAGGGGTTAAGATTCCCCTTCATCATTATTGGAAAAAAAATGACAACAACCTACAAAAAAGGAGAATATATTTATGTTAAGATACATATATATATATATATATATCAAATAGTTAACGTTCAGAATATAGTTAATACATATATATTAAATAGTTAACTAATGACAGCCACCTTCAAATGCTTAAGCTAGTAGGAGAGGTTACAACTTCAATATTTATTCTACTTGGCCTAAAGTAGGAACAAATACAAGCCTATCGAACTTGAGGTAAAAGTTCATTTTAGTTTTAAAGAAAAAAAAAACGGACATCCAAAGTTTGAAACTCCAACCTAAAATATGACTTTAATACCATGTGGAAATAATTTAGTTAGTTGACCACTTGTTGAACATACACATACATTACAAAAACAAAAAAGAAACTTTATTAAATAAAGAGACAGATTACAAAAGAAACATATAAGAAACTGAAGACAAAATAGTTACCCCATCCCTTTGCAATGTAAGCAATCCCAAAAGAAACTGTGGATTTTTTCGAAGAGAATTATTCTCTCTCCAATCATATGTGGCAGTTGAAGTTTTAGCTTAAAAATTCAAACATTTTGTTCCAACCAAATGACCTACAATTCAACAAAGATAGTTCTCCCCACTACAAAAATCTTATGCTCCTTGATCCTTCCAGTACTATGCAAATTAGAAAAGATAAATTGCCGGGTTAGAGGGACACGCATTACCTAACACATGGAGCAATTACTTTCTGAACTCTAGAAGCAAAAGTATTTTGTAGGGGGATAAGGCTCTCTGACTCCTTCAAATTTGAGATATAAAATTTACAAAATTTCTCATTCAACAACTCTTATCTTAAAACAAAACTTACACCTCAAAAAACATATAGGATGAAATGTTGATATGGTTATTAGGGTGATAGGTGAGAAAGTCGAAAAAAAGATTTACATTAATATACACTTGAACACTCAGGACTTCAAATTTTGCAATCAGATCTTGGGGTTGGACAAAACCATAAGGGATGTTTACCAAGGACATTAGACCCATCGTCTTCCATTCATTAAGGTGTGAAAAGAAATCAATAAACAAATTCAATGACACTTGGCAATCTAAATGATTCAGAAAAGAAGAAACAAGGACAATTTCCAGATAAAGTCTGTAGTGGTTGGAGAAACGAGAAGCATGGGACAAATCTCCCACCCATTTATCCTCCATAAAAGAAAAGGAACCATTACCAACACCGAAAAAATAAGAAAGAGTAAAAGAAACCATAAACCTGTGAGATTAATTTGCAAAGACTTCTAAAGTTGATGTTAGATTTGGCTTTTTAGTATTACAACTTTATTATTCACATTCTAATAATATATAATCAATATGCTCACAAAGGCTTAATGAAGAATCTTGGTCGAAGATTAGAAAGTTTTCTAGTGATTGGACTTGTTGAAGTTAAATGAATTCTGTTCTCAATTTTGCTTTGAGCAATCTCAGGACAAGCAGGCTAAAGGGAATTGTTTAATTTCAATGAACCAAGAAAGCGGAAGGGACCAGTTGCAAACTGTTACAGGTGAAAGAGAGGATGATTTACTGGTCTAATCTGTCATCAAAAGGATCCAGAGAAGACACAAATTAGATGCTGCACCACTTCTCCACAAAGTAGAAGCTGAATCAGCTTCAGCTCTAATTCAAGTTCTCACTAGACTCTAGGCTAGATATCCTAATGAGGTAATTCTCCACAGGATTCCTCTTAGCATAGTATTTAATTCTACGTGAGTATTTTATTTGACATTGATTCAGAATTTAAGCTTTGGATTCAGTTAGGAACTTATTCCTTGGTTGTAGGACTCACCACTCCCTATAAATAATTATGTATTCTTGAATCAACATAATCAATAATTAGTTCTACAAATTAGAGTATTTCTAGATATCATGTCTTCACTTTAATGAGCACCTGCGCTATAGGTCATCAAGGCCATAAAATCAATCAAACAGTTCACACTGCTGTTGCTGGATTTCTCTCAAACTAGACCATGGCCAGATATCAGACTTGGAACCGCAAGAAAATGGTAGCAGAGCAATTTGACTAGTGAAATTATAGAGTGGATGTTTATTATTATTATGCAAATATTTTCTAATTAAGGTAAAACCCTAAATTAACAATATGTATTTCTAGTTTCCTTTTTTTTTTAGAAACAACATAAACGTGTATAAATATATGAAGGAGTAAACAGTAATACACACTGAAAAACCTCATTCTTCATTCAGATTTGTTTCTCCCTCTCTCTTTCTCTGCTTCTCTCTGATTTGGGACAACGAATTAGAACATGCTTATGCCCATTGATGCTGAAATTCTGACATCTTGCTTCTTTCTCCTTTGAATTACTACTCATGATCGCTTTTTGCCCAATCTTTCTGTGTTTTTCGAAGTACGATTTCCTAGGCTTCATGCAACTGCTTTTTAACAGAGAGGAGAAACTGCTCTGGCATATCCTAAGGTTTTGTGTGACTGTGGGTTCCGGTAGAGAAACATGACGTTCCAAGAAGTTTCTAGTGGAGCCCGAACTACTGTGTCCATTGCACCTAGTTGTCTGGAGTAGAGAAGCACGAGAACCACAGCTGGATGACTGGAGCATAGGAGAGCAATGTGACCTTACCTACACCAAGGTGGCTGCACTTTTTGTGATGTGAGCACAGGTTCCGCATCATTTTGTCTCGAAGGAGAGAGATGGTCGTTAGAAGTCCGGGGCCCACAGTTTTTTGTGTGCCTGAGGAAGAGATGATGCTGTGAAATACCTTCCAAGTGAGAGACACAATCTGATGGTGTGAAATATGTTCAAAGAGAGAAGTTTTCTTTTTTTTTTTTTAATTAAATTCCTCAATAAACGGTTGAAGATAAAAAGTGTTGGTAGGATTGGCTTATTCTTGTTCGCACATTATTCTTGTAAAGGTAGATGGAACCAACTGTTTTGCTTGGTCAAGATACTGCCTTTTGTCTATCCTGTGGATTGGAAGGATATGTTACAAGAGATGAGCCTAAAACCAACTGACAGAGACCCTATGCTCAACTGGTGGTAATAACGAAAACTCACTCATGTCTACGGTAATTAACTAAATGCAGCTACATATTTTCCATGGATATTTATTGCTCAGTGCTGCCCATAAGATTCGGAGTGTCCTTTCCCAAACTTATTCTCAACTTGGCAATGACGTGCCAATTTATAAGTTAAGAAATATGATATATGCGACCAAGCAAGGAGAACGAATATTGGGCAACACATTTGCAGAATTGAGTGGGTTGGGCAAGAACTAGACTACTACCAAGACTTTTAATCAACTTGTCCTGATGAGCCTCAGAGTTCCAAGAGTTGCTGGAAGCTTAATAGCCGACCAACCTGAGATCGTGAAGGTAGGCACAATGGTATGGCGGGCCACAAGCAAATTTTTCTGAGGCTATAGGAATACTAATAACTGGGAAAACATTAATAACCTAAGCTGTTATTTGTCTAAGTTTAATTCTCATACAACAACTGATGCAACTTCCAACTTTGACAATCAGGTGTGGCCTTTCTTACTAATCTTAAAATTAAAATAAGATTCAAGGTCTTCACGACAAGCTCGTCAGAACTATTTAATACCTATACTTCATTTTCAGGAAACAATAAAGTTTGTGTCATAGACGGATCTTTATCCCCTATCACCAACACACGTTCCATTACTTGCGCATCTTCCATTAGTACAATCACAAATGATCTTAACTGTAATTTTGTCCTTCTTATTGTGCTTTTGAAGAGCTGAACAGAAAAAGCTATTGGCTGTAGAAGACTACAACATGGCCTTCATGTATCAGTGGAGAAGTAACTCCTCATTGTTTTCTTAAAACAACCAAGCCATGATAGGTGTATCTGTTATTGATAACTGTTATAGACGTATTTGTAGGGCATAAATATGGAAGACAAAACAATGACTAAATAGTTGAAATAAATATTAGATTTCTAAATAATTAGAATTATAATTAGTATTAGATTCATAAATAATATATAGTTTTCCGTTAGTATTCAAGATAATGAACTGTAATATATTTTTATAAAATAGGTCACTCTCGTAATAAGAACAAAAATGTTAACCATTTGTTAGAAGACGATTTTATTGCTAACCACCCAGTGACAAGACCCTGGTCTCGGAATAATAACAATAACCAACAAGTCATCCAACTACATCAGCAATTAGGTAATCCGTCCTCTTTTTCTGTAGAAAAACTTTATTGTATTATGTTTAAAACCTGTAAAACTTCATGACCCTTTTGCTATCTTTAAGACTGGAAGGATTGCTTACAGGCTGGCCTTACCTGAAAAAGCTCGTAGCCGTCCAGTATTGAAAGTATTATCCTTGAAGAAATTCCAGGTACCGCAGTGGTGGAGCCTTCATTGCCACCAGTCCACCTTGGTGAAATTCTCTCTCTTTCTCAAGCCATATTAGAGATACAAATCCTGACTAGGAAACAAAGGGTTTTCTCCTGTAGATGCCTCTTGGAAAGATTCAACTGATCTGCCCCAGAAGTAACCTTGGTTGCTTGAGGACAAGCACCTTAAGAGGGTAGGGAGTAATGTTACGGCTGCACGAGAGGACCGGTTTCATGGTCTAGTCTATCATCAAGGCATCAACAGAAGACAAGTCAGAAGCTGCACTGATTCTCCATAAAGTAGAAGCTGAGTCAGCTTTCAGCTGCTGATTCGCGCTCTCACTAGGACTGTAGGCTAGTCAGATGTATAAGGAAATTCTTGACAGGATCCTTTTAGCGTAGTGTTTGATTTTGCATGAGTATTTTATGTTACGTTGGTTAGGATTTTAGGCTAGGGATTCAGTTAGGATAGATATTCCCAGATTAGGAGCTATGACTCCAACAGAAAATTATAATATTCTTGAACAAAGACATCGGAGAATTAATTCTACAAATTAGAGTATTCTCAAGAAATTGTGTGTTCTTTCTAACCAGCCGAAACAATGGGCTGTCAAGGGTGTAAATAGACCAAGTTGGCTGCATGCCAACTGCAAGAATTCCCTGTAACCTGACCCGTAAACAGATCTCAGACTCAAGACCATAACATAAACAAAGGGTAGAATAACAATAAATAGAAAATATAGGCAGACATAAAAGGATCCTAACTGCCATATTTTTAGATCACATTTTCTAGCCTATTCAGCTTATTCGGCACAAAACGCTAAATCCTATTTTATCACCATATGCTGTTCAATGCTTTTAATTAGTTGTAGGAATTGGAAAACAAGACTATAAATAAAGACCAAAAGAACATAAGCCTCAAGAACATGCTAAGAAGAATATACTCCTCTTGCACAATCAAGATGCAACAACTGACAGTCTTGATCTGGAAAGAAGGTTTACTCCAAGGAATTAGTCAAAAGGAGAAAGAAAGAGATTCTTCTCTGTGATCAATTGATTAGAAAAGAAAACTATCAAAAGCATAAAGCCAAATCTGGAGTTTCAGGATGAGGTCAGCTTGCAGCCTAAGAGGAGCAGGCAAGTCCTATAAAACCCTATTACATGATTTTAATTTTCTAGCATATTCAGAAAAGAGGGAATTACCGCACATTGCGTGTACTAAAAGGATGAGAAGATCCATTAGCACATATCAGAACAAACTGTGTCGAAAGCCCACAAGGAATTTTAATCTGCATCATCAATAAGATCAAGAAACATAGACACTGAAATCTTCAGATGGAACTTTTCACAAGTTCAAAAAGAAATGAAAAATAGTAGCATCTAGAATCAACGTAATGCTTATAAAATATGTGTATGTGTATGTAACTCCTATTACAAGATAATCACTAAAGCACTTTCCTTAACATAAAAAAGGAGTTGGTTCAATTGTAGAATTATGATTACATTCTGCATATCAAGCTATTAACATCTAGAAGTAGAGTGATGATGGAATAAATTTGAAAGAAATGGCCAATAATGTAATGCCTCATGAAAAATCTTAATTTCAATCTATAAAACAAATGTAATGCAGAATTATTTTTTAATCACAAGGTTAGTGGGCAAAGTTTTGACTATGAATCAAACACTTTATAAGAACTAAAATATTTATCATTGCCAGTAATGTTTATTTTATTGACCTTATTTGAATACACTGTCAAATTCCTTAGGAAACAAAAAATAAAACTATAGTTTGTCTTTTGCAAATAAAAAAAGAATGCAGTATTTTAAATTCATTAAACATGATTGCGTCACTGTGCATTGAAAAACAATAAATTTCCAGTAAAGAACAAAGACATACTGATAATTCCTTCGAAAATTTCTCTGTAATGACAATTGCTTCTGTGCTATTGATCTTAATTTGGTAACTGGACCGTTTCAAAATTAGAGTTACGGGCTCCCAATTATCAGAAGAATCTGTCTGTAAAGAAATTATGATAAACATTACTTTACGTGTTTTCTTAGAAAAACCATGTCACATGATATTAAATGCTGCATAACAGGTAACCAATACTTCTAATAATAAAATAGTAATAATAATAATAAGTTTCATACAAAAGAACTACTGTAGAGAAATAGAAATACAATTGGGGAGCACTGGGTATCTTCTTTGAAGAAAGAGAACAAAGACAAAAGAAAAGAAAAAGTTGGATTAAACTGCAATTACAATAGATGGCACTCTTTGCGAATAAACAAAAATAAATCTTTGAAATACCTATGTGCCTTTACCCAAAAAGATGCTGACAAAGACATCTTATCGCAGAAAAAAAAATGATATTTGTGATCTCTGAAAATCCATGCATTTCTCTACAATGAAATCACCACAACCCAACAAGTAGCCCCATGCAGCAACATCTTAACATCCTTTCTCCTATCAACACCAAGATAGGAGTAAGAATAACAAAAATAGTTATTAACCTTAAGCCAGTACATTCTAGATGGAGTTGACTAAATCCAATAAGGGTTAGGCAAATGTACCGTGGATTGATATTTGGCAAGAATAGGATGTATGTATGTTTTATTGAATATCACAACCCAATATATATAAGTTTTTTAGAATAAAAAAATAAATAAATTATTAATTACATTAATTATATATGATGTATTTTACTCTAATGTCCTTTAACCAAATTATATATTCTCTTTAACACTCCTCCCAAGTTGGGGAATACATATTGTTTCTTCCCATCTTGCCAATGATAGTCCAGAATGTTGGATTACTCAGACCTTTAGTTAACACAACTACAAACTGTAAACTGATCGGTATCTATGAAGTACATATTAAACCACTATCTAAATTTTCTTTATTAAAGTGTCTATCAACCTCAATATGTTACACCGGGCTATGGGTAATACTTATAGTTGATTTATTGTCATGATATAAGCGTATGATACTCTCTCCTTTGATTTTTAAATTTTTTTAAAATTTTCTTCAGTCATAATAATTCACATATACCTTAAATCATTGTTCGAAATTTTGATTTTACACTCGACTTTGCAACCATACGTTATTTCTTACTCCTCCAAATAACCAAGTTAGCCCCAAGGAAACTACACTAATCTGTGGTAAATCTTCTGTTCACCACTAACTCTGCATAGTTTTCATTCTTATAAGTTTGTAAAAGCAACTTGTCATTCTTTTTGAACATGAACCCTTTCCCAAGTAATCCTTTTACATAATACAATACTCTGTACGCTCCTTGTAAATGTACTTCTTTGAGGTTGTGCATAAATTAACTTATAAAACTTATTGCATAGGCGATGTCTGGCCTTATATGAGATAGATATATCAATCTTCCAACCAATTTGTGATACATCACCTAATCCATTAATGCATTCTCTTCTGCCAATCCTAGTTTATGACTCGGATAATTAGGAGTATTAGATGACTTACATATTAGCTTGCTTACATCTCATAACAAGCCATGAATGCATTTCTACTAGGAGATAAATATCCTAAATTTTGAACAAGTGACTACAGTTCTAAGAAAGTACTTTAACTTACCTATCTCCTTAATTTCAAATTCATAGTCAAGCATTACTTGAGCATCATTTTTTTCTCATCATCTTTTGTTAGAATAATGTCATCAACTTTACTACAAGAACTATAACTCCCCATGTCTAGAGTGCATGATAAACAAAGTGTAGTCTTCCTAAGTCTACTTGTATTCTAAACTTGTCATCACCCTTACAAATCTGTCAAACCATACTTTACATGATTGCTTGAATGCATGGAGTGTCTCCTTTTTTTACGAACTTTACGTGGTCCTATCTTCTTGTCAAATCCTAGTGAAATTTCTACATAAATTTATTCTTGTACATCTTAATACAAGAATATATTCTTCACATTGAATTATCGCAGTTGTCAATCAAAGTAAGCAGTTAAGAATAACAAGATCCACATTGTGTTCATATTAACTAGTGGTGTGAATATCTCTTGATAATTTATCTCACTAGGTTTAAATATAGTTTTTGCTACTAATCCTACTTTATACCTCTTGAATGTCCCATTTGCTTTATATTTTATTGTAAGCACCTCCTTGCAACCCACAGACTTCTTTTATTTGGGTAAGTCCACCACTTCCCATGCCTAGTTCTTCTCTAGTGCCTGCATTTCAACATACATAACATTGTTCTATTTCTTCCAATTTAATGTCTTCGATATAGTTTTAAAGATAGGCTCGATATTCAGATTTGTAAAAAAAATTTTATCGAACTGTGAATATTTATCAACTAAAACAAACTGAGATATAATAAAGATGACGTTTAATGCATTTTCTAGTTCCCTTACAAATTGCAGTTGGTATATCATTATAAAACTATGTAGAGTTTTCAAGACTTACCTCAGTTTCAAAATTCGTGTCGGATTCTTGAATCTGTTTTGGCTTAGAACTCATATTCTTTCTCCTTATATACACCTAAGTAAACTTGGGTTTAGGTATAATTTTTTGAGTGGGTGGTAGTTGAGATCAGTTAAGAACTTGATATCTTTATATTATAATATAAACTCCCCTTAAATATAAGATTAAGAAAAATATGAGTGTTCTTCAACAAAGATGACATCCACAGGTACATAAAACTTTTGTATAAGCGGATGGTAACATCTATACCCCTTTTGAGAAGATGAGTACTCATAAACACACACTTTAAGGCTCTGAGATCAACTTTCCCTTGTTGGGGTGAATGAATGTAGACAAAAGTTACACGCCCAAATACTCACAGAACTAGATGGTTTATGATACTTACTTTTAGGTAAAATTTGGAGAGGATTTCTAGAGAACTTTTGAGATCTAGAACACTAAAGTTAAGCAGTTAATAATACATGTGGCTGTAAGGACTGTTTCATCCCAATATTGTTTTGGAACATGATTCTAGAATAAAAAAGGTCTAGTGGTTGTAAGAAGGTGACAATTCTAACGTTATGCTAATATGTCTTATTATGCAGTGTGCACGCATGATGATTTATGAATAATCTTTTCTTGGTGGAAAAAGAATAAAAATGTGTAACTAAAAAATTCTTTTGCATTTCAATGCGAAACTGTTTTATGTGGGTTCCAAATTGAGTTTTAATCATGTTGCAAAATTATGGTATTATGCGGTTAACATTGAATTTGAATGTTAGTAGGAAAAAACATGTAACCCAACTTAAATCATCAATAAATGACATAAATTATCAAGACTCGAAAATATTGAGAACATTGATGGTCCCCAAACATTATTACGAATCAAAGAAAATTGAAACATACTTATTTTATTGCTAAGAGAAAATTGTACATGCTTATATTTGCAAACTCGCATACATCATAATGCAAATTTCCATAATAAGAATTTTCAAATAACAACAGAAACATAACCTTTTGGAGAAAGATGGATGACCGAGTTTTTTGTGGTACAACCAACATTTGTAGGTAGAGTTGGTAGATATAACATAGATAGATCCACTAACTACATCTAAATAGTATAACCCGTTTTTAGTCTCATCACGTCTAATCATCTTTTCCAGGTTTTGATATTGAAAGTCACAATAAGAAGAAAACGATATTACTTTGCAATTCAAATCTCATGATAATTTGGTGACTGAAGTTTGTACAGAATTTAAGAACATGTAACACATTTTCCATAATTAAGGTAGGACCCAGCTTGTTTATTGCTCTTGTCAGCAGCAGTGTTTAGAGAACCATCTGTGGGGACAACTTTCTTACTATTGTGGCATTGAACATAACTATGAAAATATTTAGAAGTATTAGTCATATAATCAGTGGCCGCAGAGTCTTTTACCCATAAGTTTTCAAATAGTTTAGCTGAGACATTTAAACCATGTGAGAAAGAAAGTATACTTGAGTGTGGGACTTCTATGGAGTATTCCTCTTTCAGGTTGGCAACATGGGTTTGCCTGTGGGACTTCTATGGAGTATTCTCGTATCCCCATTCCTTACTTAAGGCATTAAGCTTGCTATTGGAGTTTTCAAAATTTGTATTTAGTATGTCTAGACTTGTCGCAAAATATATATAAAATATTATCTCAATTGTTGGCACTAGGCTCTGCATTTCTGCTCTGATTAGTTCTTTTGTCTGTTGGCGTGGGTTGGAACCTTTTGAGATTAGTGCTAAGCTATCAGTGGCCTAGGAATCTAACATGACCCCTCTCTTGCTCTCTTCTGCAGATACAGTAGCAGTTACCTCATTTAGTGACGACATTTTGTCTTTGCCCAGAATCTAATAGGTACAATTTTAATCTACAAACTACTTGAAACGGGTTGCATCCTTGCTACAGTACATGGTAAGGTTGCCGCACTGATCCAATTCATACCACCACCCTTTTGTTAGAATATACAGTAACTAACTTGTTTTCTTACTTTGTGAACCATGTCTTGACATTTACATCACAAATCTGGGATGCATCTTTGACTTTAGAATAAGTTTTTCCAATTGAATCTCATACTTCTTTTGTTGTAAACAAGAACATGACAGTTTTATTTATCTCTGGCAACTTAGAATTCTGTAGCCACACCATAATCATTGAGTCTTCCACATTCCATGTATCAAAAGTGTCTCTTGACTTTGATCTAGTGCCCAGGAGGCGACTGGCTTTCCTTTTCCCTTGAGTGTTATCCGAATTGATTGTGACTAACTGAAATAGACCTTCTCAGTGAAGTAATAAGCAGCCTGAATTGGCTTAAATTCGTTATTTTTTTGGGTAGAAGTTCCTATGTGAGAATTTGTTTTAGTACTTAGGAATGTAACCCTGACATGGTTTAAGAGTGTTAGGGCAATTAAGGAAAGATATAAAAATCATGGGAATGATGTCACCGACTGGATGAAAGGAAGCATAGCTGACAGAGGCTGGCTGATCGTGCTGGACAAAATCACTATGCAAGGGGTGGCTGAGCAAGGAGGTGGCGCGCAATTCGACAGAGGTAGCACATGGGTTTGGCGGCTGGGCAGCACAGAGCAAGGGGAGTCGCAGATGGTTGTGCATGTTGCTGTTGTGTGTGTTGGAGGATCTGATGTTGGTGATGAAGGTCGGCTCTGGTGCTGGAGATCAGTATGTGGTGGACCGACGGCTCATCTGTGGTGGCTAGCAATGAAGGCTGGCCTCTTAGGATTTTTGTGGCTTATTTCAACAATAAAGACCAATTAGTGTTTGTAAAGGAGACCTAGAGTTCTCTCTGTAAATCTCTGTTATCATATCAAGAATGGTTGTTTGTATGTTTTATTAAATATCACAGCTCTATATACACAGATTTTATAAAATAGAAAATAAAATAGACTGTTAATTATATTAATTACATAGGGTGTATTTTACCCTAATACCCTTTAACCTAAGTATATATTCTCTTTAACAATATTTTAGGAGGTAAAATATTTCTGCTCTAATATAATTAACTTACAGTAGAAATTTATGACTAGCCAATGAAACTAACATTGCTTTTGGTTCAAATTTCAATTTTATTGAATACAAATGAGAACACAACATAAATCGATAGAATTTGAATGAAAATGGTGTTTTAATTTCAAGTTTATGTCTAATTCCAGTTAGGTATTTTTTGTGATTCCTTCCGTAGAGAATGAAAATACAAATCTATGATTGTGTAATTAAAGATATAAATAAAGTTGATTCAATTATGCATTCAGTATATAAGTTATGACTAACTTCTATGCACCAAATAATTGAGATATAGGACAAACTTTGGGAAAGATGGATTTGTTTTTTTGAAAAAATTGGGAAAGATGGATTTGTATTTTCATCATTTGGATGATTCTCTTACATATTTCAGCTACTTCAACAATCTATCTTCTTGAAATTTCATCTAAATTCTTAATATTTATTTTCTATTTAGTCTAATAATATCTCAATAATTAATGGAGAATAATTGACTAGGAAGATTTATAAGATCCTTGGTATAATTAGTTTACTTTTGTATAAGATCTCCTCATACTATAAGTAGGAGACCTTATAATGTGATAAAATTATAAGAGAATATTAAAACCAAAATATTTTTTCACTGTTTTTCTCTCAATCTATATGCCTATATATGTAGGTCTCAACCCTAGAAAGATGAATGAAGTGTGGCTGCAAGTGCTATCAAGATAGTTGTTGTAGGAAGCTTCAACGCTGGATTGAAAACTTTGGGAATAATGCAAGCTCCTTCATGTCAAAAGTTTCTACCTCAGTAATTTTTATTCCCCATGTGTCCAAGGTACCTTCAAGCATATCACTAATAATGAATCAGTATAAATCAGAGAGAACTTCACTGAACAAAGACTGCTTAAGCCGAGCATTTGGCTTTTCATCTAATGATGTCGATCATCCTTCCCTTTTCGACCCGTAGCAAGTTTCCTCTTGCTTTTTCATGAAGATGCTAGCTATCAAAAGAAACATTTTTCTTTAAACTTTTCTATAATTTAGGGAGCCACAATGTGATTATGGAGTATACTTTCATGTATGAACTAGGAGAAAAACTCTCTTTTAAACAATATCATTCTGCATTTATCTGTTATGATTTAGAAAAAATTTTATATCTGCTAGCTGATAAGGGTGCAGGTTTATTACCCATTTCATTGCAGCATCCAGAGCAAATATAAACTAAGGCAAACCAAGGATTCATCTAGTTTCTTCCTAATTTGTGTGTAAGCCTCTATTTATAAATGAATTCATTAAGCAATATTCTTGTTCAGAAAAACAGAAAACATTTTGGTTTCTAGATAAATTGCATCTACTTCAAAATTTAAAGAAGAAAAAAATTAACAAGGATGGAAAAATAAACAAAATTCATAAGTCAATAAAAGTCAAAACCTACCAGCAACTGGAGACTAAACATGGCTTGCCCTTGGGAAATATGCGTATCAATCTCCATTTGCATATCTGGGTCTGTAAAACTGCTTGTCAGAAAGCTAGGACAATTCAAGAGCTGAAAGTTCAAAGAATTTTTAGAAAATATTGGCAAATTTATATGCCTACCAAAAGCTATCTGCTTTCATGCTGCTATATGATGGTATAATTAAAAAGAAAAAAACAAAGAAATTGATATTTGAGAGCAAGGACCATCTCAAGCATTCAGCAGGCATAGCTCAAATCTTTTTTCGGAAAGAAAAAGGATAAGAAATATATAAAGAAGGCACCATGGGGGATAGTTTTCAATCAGTCAAGACACCAATGAGTCCACCCAGATGATGGACATAAATAAGAAGACAACCCTTAAATAAAAAATTGGCATGGTTCAAAGTTATTATGTATATAACAATTATACGAGTGATATCAATTGGAGCACTAGTACAGGATTTAAAATATGTTCATACTGAACCATATATCATTAGTATTTTACCTTTTTCATTGATAAAATAAGCTGCAATATATAGCCAACCAATAAGACTTTGTATCTCATAATGAAACTCATTTCTACTATATAGCCAACCAACTTAAACCACACTACTGGACATTAGTCACCCCTCACAATCAGCTATTAATCATGGTAGGCTAATTACTAATAATGGGCAAATTGCCTTTCAACTCTTCCAGTCATGGTTGACTACTTCAACTCATTTAGGCTTAACTACAATCTTTAGTTTCATGTTTAAGTAGATTTTAAGTAGTACAGGAAGTAGAATCTTTTAGCTTTCATGTTTAATAATTTTTCTTCTTAGTTGTAACTAACACCTATATAAAGGTTAGAAACTATAATAAAGAAAATAAATGGGGATTAGTTTAAGAATTTATAGAAACTATAATAAAGAAAATAAATGGGGATGAATTTAAGAATTTATTTTCTCTTTGCTATGGTTTTATTCCTTATTATCTTTTTCAACATTCATTTCTCCGATATTCTCTCTAACCCTTCCTACTCATTAAACTTCTCCCTACATTTCTTCATCTTATTCTGTAAGTTGACTATAACCCTTTCCAAAGGGGGGAGGTTAGCACTTATCAAAATCACTTTCACCAATTTCCTTATTTATTTTTTATCAGCAGTGAGTATTCATGTTAAAGTTGCTAAGAAATTTGAAAATGTTCAATGTCGCTTTTTGTGGAGGGATGATGAGTAGAGCAAAAAATATCATTAATTAAGTGGGAGGAAATGAAGAAACCAGTTAACATGGGTGGTTTGAGTCTCCGGTCTATGGTGGATCTGAATAGGGCCTTACAGGGGAAGTGGTTGTAGAGATATTTATCAGAGGAGGGGAGGTTGTGGATTCGCATCATTGAAGCGAGGTGGGGGGCATTTGTTGGGATTGGGAGTGGTAAGGAGGTGGTTAGGCATCATGGTGTGGGACCCTAGAGGAAGATCGGTTTTGGGGCCGTTCTCACTTACTTGATTGTACTTAGTGGAAACTCAGGAGGGGAAATATCATTAGTCTTTTGGGAGGATGAGTGAATTGGGAGGGAAAAACTTAGAGAGTAATTCCCAAGAATTACCCTTTAAAAATAAGGAAAAATGTGGTGATAGAGGATGTATTCAGATGGGTAGATGGGAGGAGTGGTTGAAACTTGCACTTGACTAGAAACCTCAATGATTGGGAGGTCGATGAGTTTGCTTCTTTAGTTACTGGCCGATGTACACCTGAAAACTACTAAGGACAAGGCTGAGTGAAAATTAAAGAAAGACAGTGTCTTATAGTTAAGTCCTTTTATGATTAATTGGCCAACAAAGATGGCCACGGCATGGGGTCTCTGGCTTTACAAATTTGGAAAGTGAACACGCCTCCGAGGAAAACTTTTTTCGCTTGGGAAGCTGTTCGGGAATGTATTCTTACTATAGACAAGCTGATGAGAATGGGACACATTATGCTTAATGGATGTTATTTATGCAAGGATGCGGTAGAATCTTCCAATCATCTTCTTCTTTGGTGTCCAGTGACTTATAGCATAT